CAGTCCGCTTCTCTTTAAAATGTTAATTTCATTTTATTGTTAATAAAAGCAACGATTTTATAATATCATTTTAATTATTATTTATAAGAAATTTTCCAGAAAAATTATAAAAAATAAAATTTCGGAAACTGAGAAGGAATTAAAATATATAAAAAATGAAAACTAATATTTAAATAAAATTTTCTTCATAAAGAGACAGCTATAACTAAATCTCGCACTTTATAATTTGTAGGATTAAGTAGATGAGTCATGGGGAACTGGTCAGTGATTGCACTGAAGTGCTGCTTCATCCCTTCATTCTTGAAATCGATTCAAATTAGGCTCGGTATCAATGTGATGCACATTAGATGCATTGTTTATTAAACGATTTTGGGGAATTGTAGGCTAGCTTTCTAGAAAGGCCTAATGAATATAATGAACGCTGACATAGGGCTTAGTTATCCGGTCAAATGGTTTATTTCTAGTATAATAGACGGATAGACTTAAATAAATTATTATTTAGAATTTATTCTACTGCACCCAACAAATTCTAATTTAAATTAAATGCCTCATTAGTAAACATTTTCATAGAAAAAGATATTTTCAGATTCTAACTATCGTGTTATTATCTATCGTGTTTTTAATATATTGTAACTGAATAAATTAAGTATTACCGATATTAACGAGATATATTTCATGAAATTCAAGAAGTTGAAAATGTTTCTGCCACAATCCGATTAGAATTTGAAAATTCGATAGTTTGCATCTTTCAACTGTTTTTTTGAATTGATGAAAGCCTTATAAAGTAAACTAAAACTGCCTGACTTAAGATCTTTATAATTCATCTCGTTCATTCTAAGATTAAGATAATCAATTTCTTATTTCGAACTATCGAATATATAAATTGTCATATTACTCACTCAATAATAATACTACAGTTTCACTTCAAAAATATGAAACACGTGCTGTGACTATTGCGCAATGGTAGTGCTGTCGTAATTCCCTCTTCTATTCCATCAACAAAATATTCTTTTTGGATTTGGGAAACATTCTCTTCAGCAGCGCAAGTAACGCTGTCTTCAAACCATCGGTACGACCGATTCATTCAATGCATTTCTCAGCTAAAATTTACTACAGGGAAAGATTGAAAAAATTCATTGCAAATAAATATTAATAGCTCGTTTTAAAAATGGTTTAATTTTGTTACTAAAAAGATTATTCAGAAGTGAATGGAACATTATGGCATTTTAAGTGTGCAAAACGAATAGGTTACAAATTCCGCCTTTCTGTTAAGTTAACACGTTTGTAGTTTTCATCGGTACGATCAAAAGATGATATTAGCTGGGTATTTGACTGATAAATGAGAAAAGAAAAAACTTTCTATCTGTCATACTTATAGGAGGAAGTCTTCAGTTAGCAAGTCTTTCCTATCTTTATCTTACCTTTCTTTATCAAAAAAATTTAGAATTGAAAATATTTGTAGTTCAATTCAAATAAAATCAGTATTTTCCTTTTTCTGAATTTATATTCAAAATAAGTTAGATTGAAATTCAAAATAAGTTAGATTGAAATTCAAAATAAGAATTAAGAAATGTTAACTGTCTCATTCTGATAATACATAATATTTGTTTCGATAAATTTCCTTCTGCGATGAAAGAAAAAAGTGAAATGATTACTTTTTCCTTCCCATAGATTTCTTACAAAAATTGAAAATTTGATTAATGTGAATGAAAGGATTAGAATGAAATACCTTTTGCTTTTCCCTCATAAATATTAAAATCTGAACAATCCTTTTAATTCCCTTTATAATTTACTGTAAACACTTTTATCATATCAATGAATCACTCAAACTATCATCAACTTTGATCGAGTAAAAGTTTACTTTGTTAAAATTTTTCATCAATAACTTGCTTATCAATGGAATGATCAGAAATGATTTTTTTGTGGAAATCAATAATGTTTGAATTGAGAAAGATATTTAAACTTCTATTATGAACTTCTATTTATAATTTGTGAGATACATATGGTAACCATATGAATTCCTCACTCGACCACTAATTTAGTCCGTCGAAATTGCTGCAATGGACATGTCCTATCATATCCGATCCTATTAAAAAACGAAAACATCTGCTGCCAATAATTTTTGGCCAATTTTGTCTTTTTTTACTCACATCCTCATCCAAATCTTATTGAAATTTTTTGTTCAGTAATTTCATTTTTTCAAATTAAATGTGCAATAAATTGTTCATAATCCAGATTAAAAACATCTAACCTGAAATATATCTTTTCCTTCAGAAACTTTCAGGAACCCGAAATTCAGTTAAAGGTCTAAACTTATTCCAGGCCCTTTAATATATTAAATTAATGAATAAATTATTTAAAAAAAAATAGTAAGTAAAGAAAAACCAACAAGCATTTGTTGTATTAAAAATGGAAAAGCTGGATGAGTAAAGAAATGCTCAGAAGGAAGCTATTGGTTTGTTTAAATGATCGATAGGCATCCTCAGGCTTCTTTCCATAGAAGATATTCGAAATGGACAGGACGCTTCTTTTTTCTATCCAAATGCTTTTATACTTCAGTGCTTATGGTTCATGAATAAATTCATTAGTGAAAAGCTACCAAAATTGAAAAATTAATTATTGCTTTCTCAATTCACTTCAATTTTAAGATATGCGGCAAACAAAATGCTTATAGCCTTACTTTGGCTTGGCTCTTTTCCCCACTCATTCTCTTTCATTTTCCCTTTACCATTATTTCTAATTTTGCATCGGACCAAAGCAAAAATTATTCAGACTTAAACTTAGCAAAAATTACGATGAGTCATCCACATTTTCAATTCAAATAACTAAACTTGCAACTTCAAACATACTAATAGTATTGATCAAACTAATCTTACTCAAATAATAATACATACATGAAGTAGGCAAAAATATTCCGGGATTGAAGATAAGTTATATTAAAGAAACTAAAGAATCACTCATCCATCTTGTTGCAAGCTTCAGTTAAGAATCCTCAAATCATTTTCAAAATAAATGAAAAAATTATGAAAAATTCTTGCCTTTGAAAATTTCAAAACAACCATTCTGTTATTGCCAACAGTAAACACAATAAATCATAAAAGGTTAATATTTCAACTTTGCTAACATGCCAGGTTACCACCCCACTAATATATCCAGGTGTAGAAAGAAAGACTAATTATATCTTTGGTGATGTGTGGAAGAGAATATGAAGAGAATGTTAATGAGCAAGTGAAGAGATAACCTCGAAGCATTTAATTACTACTCTTCAGTGTAAGTCTTGCAGTTTGGAATACACCTTAATAAAATATAGCATAAAGTATGAGTGATACATTATATCTATGATTGCAAAATATTTTCGAGCTTGCATTTCCAAGCTTCTTAAAGTTGAATTAATAAATGAAATAGAATACTTAAAATGGAATCATGTGAATATCAGATATTTCATTGAAAATATTTTCTAATTCTTATTGATAATGCATTTTTTTATCGGAAGTTTTATATGATCACATATCCAACTCTTATAACATTGATTAATCCCTTGTCTTTTTCAATTAAACGATGCATTATTGATTGGAATTGGAAAAGGAATCAAAATGACATGAAAATGCCAAGAGATGTCAGATTTGATTCTAGATAACTCTGAAATATCTAATCTAATATAAGCTGTCCTTCTCAAGAACGAAATGAATGAATGGACAGGAAAGATTGATATGATGTCCATTATGAATGACCACTTTGCAGTTGGCAGTCCTTTCTTGGCCTTACAATTAACAATCTTAAGCATAATTTTAAAGAGTATGAAAAGTAATATAAAAAAAGTAGAAAAGTTGTAAATTTTAGGAACTTATCTCAATCACTCAACAATATATACATATATTTAGAATATTCGTTCAGAATTTTTTGTTCCTTAAATTATTATATAAAATTTAGTGCAATAAAAAAAAAATAAAATTTTTGAGAATTTTCAGAATTGATTTTAAAATCTTTCAATTTAAAAAAATCGGAAGATGGAAAAGAATGAGAAATTTCTTGAAAAAGATTTAGGTAACGACAATTTTTGTTTCTTTCAATCGATGAAACTTATTATTTGCAATTCAAAGAAGAAGAAAAACATAATTCCATACTGAACTTGCAATTTTTCCAATAGGCAAAATCCCAGAACTATAATTATTTAGGTTGATGAAAAGTTCGCTCTCGTGATATTTCCAAAACAATTATTATACGATGTAATGAGCTGTTTAAAATTAAGTAATAAATATTATGGAACTGGAAATAACGATGATGACTTAGACCTAAAAATAATCGCAAATAAATATTTTTGAAATTATAATTTATGAATTAGGCAGCTATTAGGTTTGCAAATAATTAGGTAGCTATAATTGACGATCGGATATACGCCACTCGGAAATGACAAGTTTAGTTAACAAGAATTTAAGTTCAAACAATGTGAAGAAATTAATGCTACTCGAATATGAGGCTACTAGTTTTGATTTTTGCTTCAATGATAATTTTGCAATGAAATTTCTTCCATTTGTTTTCACTGTTCCTTGATACAGAACGAATAATCTGTTGGGAAAGCTGAAAATAATTCGTAAAGGCAGAAAAATCTTTCTCGGAACACTCCACTTCTAACTTCATCTTACTTTATCCTGAGCTATTTCAAGATGAGCTGAAGAACTTCAAAGACATATGCCTTTGATTTAATTGCTTTGCAAACACTTTTGCAGAAAACTGGTTCTTTTCAAAATTGCTCATCAAATTCCAAAGTATTAGTTCACCTAGCTAACAGCTTCCATTAGCAACACTATCTTCCCAATCCACTAACTATATTTTACGAAATTTCGAAAATCATTAAGTTTTCTAGCTAAGTTCCAAATTTTCGATAAATTTACTTCGAATCTCAACAAGCTTATCAAATTAAACATCTTTTTTCAATTAGAGAAAGTATGGCATCAGTTTTTTTAAGTTACACATTAATTTACATCTATTTTAGAGCATCAATGGAAGAAATCGGAAGATGGTATTCGAAAGAAGACGAAATAAAATTGGAAGTTTGTCCTGAAATTATGACAAACATTCGTTGTGGTGGTGCGCAAAACGAAGATGACGATAACGAAGCAGTAAATGATAATTTCCGCAAATAATTAATATAATTCATAATTCAATAATTTTTTCTAATTAACTGTGTTGTCATTTGTTTATTCTGTGGTAGTAAATGTTGATTAAATTCAGTAATGGTTTGTTGAAATAGTAGCAAAGAAAATTTTAGGCGAAGAAAGCTGCAGAAGAGAGAACACGTAAGAAAGCGGAGGTACGTAAACGTCTGGAAGAGGCCAATCGTGCCAAAAAAGCCAAGAAAGGCTTCCTTACGCCGGAAAGAAAGAAGAAACTACGTGTTAGTTTTTTGTTAAGATTGAAAATTAAAGGAAGCATATGCTAATGAATTCAAGAAAACTGTTAGTTTTTTAATAGATGAAAAAAGTCTATTGTCATATATTATAGAAATTACTAATGATAAAAGCGGCAGAAGACTTAAAGCAACAACATATGCTAAGAGAACAGGAAAGACAACATGTCTTACAGGAACGTATCTTACCTTTACCAGATTTGGATAACATTCCGGATGGTTTGCTATTTTACATTCTGTAGTAAAATCTGTAATACAGCTAAGCTTATTTTTGCTTTAAAAATACACATGTAAATTGCATGCATGCAAAAGTGTAACATGTATATCATCGAATATGGACAAATTGATGCGTTTAGAATAATCCGTGAATAGTTTGTATTCATGTTTTATTATATTATTTAAATTTCAGAAAATTAAGTTAAAAGAAATATTAAAATAGTTATGGCGCAGATTGAAGTTTAAATTTAGGTCATAGAATTAAGCAAAAATATGGGAAAATTGAGAAATAAACAACAAATATATATTCATGAATTGCTTAGAAAAACAATAATAATCAATAAAAGCGAATAATGCGTTTTTGGTTAATTAGTCAGTCTAAGAACAATAGCGCTTCTTTTTCTTCACATTTCGAAATAAATTTTATGGTGGCATTTTATGATGGCAAATATACAGCATATTTAGGAATACGTTTAATAGAAATTACATAACAAAAATACTATCTTGAAATGAATACAAATCGTTGGGCAACTAAAAATGAATCACACGTAAGCAAACGTGAAAGAGTTACGCTTGTCATTTAGTTGGACATACGTAAGTAAGATGGATAAGGTACAAGGTGTTATACTACGAATAGAAAAAGTAAAGAGAAATTTAGGAAATGAAGTATGGCTGATTTATTGTAATAACTTATAAATTCCTAGAAAAAAAATGATGAAAATGGAAGTAATTGGTAGAATAGGAAGATAGTCGAAGATCTTTGGGAAGAGATTTGTCCCCATTCTTACTATTGCTTTTCTGTTCTGTTCTAGTCTTCTGATCTATTATTATTTTTCTACCTGTTAATTATTATTTTTTACTAATTGATATGTGAAGAACAAATCTGATCTATTATTATTTCTCTACTTATTTTTCTTCATGATTATAATCTTATGATCTGATCTATATCGAGCTTCTCTTTCAATATATCATATCAACTGATCAACTTTAGAATGGATGATTCAAGGGAGTATTTGTAGAGATGCAGATTATGGTATAAATTAAAACTAAATAAATTTACATATATTGGAGATATAGTAAACTACGATCATTTACGGACAACATTCTAGTTTCCTTAAAATATCAAAAATTTTTTCAATTAGAATTCTAATACTTGAAGAAGTATTTTTAGGTTAAATTTTTTTAGAAGAATTGGAAAAGATTGCAAAAGACATGGCTGAAAGATTATTGCAACTGGAAAGCGAACATTATGATATTAATTACATTGTACGCCAAAAGGATTTCGAAATCAACGAATTAACTATTTCAGTTAACGATTTAAGAGGAAAATTGTATATTATTAAGTTACTTTTTTCTAAGTAATTTTTTTCTAAAATTAAATTAAATTTAAAATTGTTCATTAATGATTGGATGATTTGCAATTATTTTCATGTTTCATGAATGACTCATATTTACAGCGTGAAACCAACACTAAAAAAGGTATCCAAAACTGATAACAGGTTAGCATTATCGATTTTCATACTATTTTATTACTTCAGCAAAGAAATTCAATATATTATTCCACAAATCGAATAGATTTATATTCGGAAGATAAGATAACGGCTTCTTCCGTAATTTACTGATAATCTCACTTATTTGAAGTATTTTTTCAAATAATTCATCTTCTTACAAATAATAAAACACTAAATTATTTTATCAACCGGGAAAAATTTTTTAGATTCAGTAAACTAAAGAAGAAAGATCAGAATTTTGTCGACTTTCGCATAAATTTAAAAAATGTAGAAAGTAATAAATTCACTTTAAAAGCGGTAAGTTTCTTCCTGAATTTTGCATATTAAAATACATCTCATCTCATCATATTTCCGTACGCATTAAAAATAAACTTCCAATTGGATATAATTCGATCATGCATTGTTTGCAAAATTATGAATGATTATGTTCAGTTATAAATACATTAAAATTTTAAATCAGAAATTTCAGAGCGTATCAATTTGTGTTTAATTTAATAACAAATTTACATCATCGTTGTAAATCAAATTTACATAATCAGCATTAAATGAAAATTCAGTTTCACATCTAAAATCTGAAATGATATTAATGAAATTATTAATTTCATTAATTTTTTCTGAATGCAAAAATGCTTTTCTGAAAAATTCAAAAATAATTCGTTTTCTTTTTATTCTTTTCTTATGCAAAATTATGACAAAATGTGTCTGTCAATTGCGATAACTCTCTTTTGTTATTGCATTGAAAAGCTTTTTGATTTTTCTTATTATTTTAAATTTGAATCAAATAAAGTGTTAGCTTTTTAGAATTTCAAAAAAGCATTAATTATTTGTTAATTTTCTCTAAAGCAATGTAAAGTGGCACATTTTCGATTTGCATTTATTGAAAGGTTAATAAATTTTAGGAACTCTTATTGTTGGAAAATTTAGGGAATTTCAATTATTTTAAATCTTAATATTTTTTTCAAGAAATATGATATAGATGAGTTAGTCTCATGTTTTAAAAGAAAATATCGTCAAAAAATGAAATTTAATTTCATGTCTGATCAATTAGTTACATTCTTCTCATTACTGATAAACTTACAAAATGCTTCAACATTTCCCTATCATTGCTGATAAAAAATATCAGAGAAAATATTTAGGAAGTTTGTACTTTAAAAAAAGAATACGGTAAAAGTATATAAGGAATTTAATTAAAATATCGAAACTATAAAACATTTTGGGACTTTCGGATATGTGAATGGTAGGACAAGCTTCTCTATTGGGAATAGTAATAAATAAAGATAAAATATTGAATAATTCTGCAGTACAACATTTATCGTCTAAATACATTTTCATTAAATTTTTTCCTCTCTCAAATATCAATAAAATATTTTTATGCAAATTATTTGTTATCATCTCATTGAGCACAAAAAATATCATTGAAAGCAAAATAAGTTTATTTCTAACTTAGCATTATGTTTCGCTGCAAAAAATAATTCTCGTGTTTTTCCTTTGCAACACGAAATATTCAATGAATAAAACAAAATTTCAAAATCTGTTAGAATCTTCACATCTTTCCGTGTATATTTATGCATTGGTCATTAATCGGTCATTATTAAGTCGGACTAAAATCAAATATGAATTTAATGATACAAGTGAAGATTGCACAAAATGTATAATAGAAACACTTTCGATACATTATTTTTGTATATTTTTTGTCTTCTATTTCATTTAAACGAGAAATAGTGGCAGCTTATCATTTAATAGGAATATTATTTGACCTCTTTGAATAATATGACTGAGCTAATTCCATTCATAATATATCGCATATAATTGGAATAAATGTATCGATTGTTTTTCTTTTTGCAGGAGAAGAAAGAATCTATCATTGATTGGAAGAAATGAAAATGCATTTAATGCATCAATAATGGCTATGACTAAAATTTGTTTATGCAATAATCGATTTATTCATTTTCCTTATGCTTTCTGCAATTCTATTAAATATCCTTCCAGTATTAGATTGAAATTTTTAAAATTGTTCTAAAAAGTTAATAGCAGAAAGCATATCAACTTTTTACGACAATCCTATTATAGGAAGATCAAAAACATTTGGTTTTATATAGTAAATAGCATAAATAATGACACATGCTGATTAATATCTTAAATAACTAACTATTCCAGGATATAAAGTAATGTAATGAATGAACATCACATTTTATGCTGTTTTGGTACTACTTAAAGCAATACAAATGCAAAAGGTTTTTACGTATATATAATTATGCTTCCTTTTCCTTATTTCAACTATAAAATTTAAACAAACCAATTTATTTTCAATGACTCATGCGTGAATATCATCCGCGACTTTAGTAAACATCTAGAGTAGTGTTTATTATATAAATATGAGTAGACGTTCATTAAATACGCAAACATGCGGTCAGATGCATAAAGATATAATTCTGTTAAATGTAAATGTTAGATTCATTTTAGGTTGATAACTGTCGTTCCTAGTTAACAGTTGTTATAATCATTCTATCAAAAGATATATCAAGTAATAAAAAGTTCTTAAATACTGTTAAAGTTCATTTCAGCTAAAGAACAGCTAATCACCAAGTTTTTATGAAAAACTGAACATCGATTAGAGCAATAATGTTAACTACGTTAAGTAGCATATGCCATATAAGTACTAGTTGATCTTGTTTTTTCAATCGATCCCGCTCATTAGCTGCAAAATATTTTCAACGTAATACCAATTTTTTCTATTTCATTGTATTATAACTATTCTCTATTAGCAGAATTCAATACTTTCAATAAATGCTTTCCACTGTGATAAACTTTTTTATTTTATCGAATCAGAATCAAAAAAGATTGGTTAGAAAAAAACCATATTAACCAGAAATACGTACCACTTATAAAAATGATATAAACAATAATTGGGAGAGTAAATGATATAAAAATGTGCATAAAGGATACAAATTAATAAATATGAAATTGGTAACATAAAATTGCTCGCTAAATGATCGTGGTAAATCAAAAAATAAGAGACTGAAATACTACATGTAGCATAAGAATTGCAGGTAAGAATTTGTAAGAAGCAATATACTCATAACAAAAAAACTGATATTTTTTCACAAGGAAAATACTACTGGAATCAAATTTCAAATAAAAAACTTAATCATGGGATATCAGTTTTCATTCAAGCCAATAACTACCAGCTTTCAAAAACTAGCGGAATGGAAATATTTAAAATAACTAAAATTACTCGAAATTATAAGAACTTGCGCAATATGCGATTGTACGTAATTTGATTTTTGGAAGAAAGAAAGAGGGAGGAATACTTTCGTTACGCATTTTTAAAATGAACTAGCAATAAAAATAAACAGAAAAGTTGAAATTAGCCAATGAAAATCTTACTTCGAAAATCTTGTTTGTATTATTAGGTTTGTAATAAAAAAATGTTAAAATGGAAAATCGCAAATTGAAATGATCTGCTCTTCTTGATGTAATTCTGAAAATCAGTAAAGTGAGGTATCCTCTTCATA